CTCTCTCTCTCTTTCTCTCTCTCCCTCCCACTCTGTCTGTACAAAAAATGGAAAAATGTCCTCGGATGAGGATTAAAAAAAAAAACAGGAAGACAGCTTGAGAGAACTGTGGGACAACTGGAAACATAATAACTTTCGCATCATAGAGATCCCCGAAGAGGAAGAAAATGGATTAGAGAATATATTTTAAAAAACAGCAACAGAAAACTTTCCTAACTTGGTAAAGGAAGAAGGCATTCAAGTTCAAGAAGCAGAGAGAGGCCCAAGAAAGAAAACCCAAAACAGGCCCACATCAAGACACACAGTCATTAAAATGTCAAAAATTAAAAACAAAGAGAGAATACTATAGTTAGCAAGAGATAACCAACAGGTTACCTACAAAGGAAACCCCACAAGGCTTTCAGCTGATTTCTGAACAAAAACACTAAAGGCCAGAAGTGAGTGGCATGAAGTAATCAAAGTCATAAAAAACAAGGATCTGAATCCAAGACTACTCTATCCAGCAAGGCTACCATTCAAAACAGATGGTCAAATAAAAGGCTTTCCAGACAAACAAAGGCTAAGGGAATATATTAACACCAAACCAGCACTGGAAGATATGCTAAAATGACTGCTGTAGTAGAATAGGAAGAAAAACAAAACCACACTAAATAAAAATGGCAATAAGTAAGTACATATCAATTATCACCTTAAATGTGAATGGTTTGAATGCTCCAATAAAAAGACACAGAGTAGCTGACTGGATAAGATAGTGTGACTCACATATATGTTGTTTACAAGAAACCCACCTCACAACAAAAGACTCACATAGGCTGAAAGTGAAGCGATGGAAAAAAATCTTTCAAAAAAACAAAAAGTAAAAAAAACTGGGGTAGCAATACTCATATCTGATAAAGTAGATTTCAAAATGAAGGGCATAACTAGAGACAAAAAAGGCCACTACATAATATTGAAAGGATCTATCCAACAGGAAGATAGAACCTTGGTAAACATATATGCACCCAATTCAGTAGCACCAACATATAATAAATATCTTCTGGAGGACTTCAAAGGAGAAATCAACAGCAATACAGTCACATCACTGGATACATCTTTTAGACAAAAAATTAACAAGGGAACACTCTAAATGAAGCGCTAGATCAAATGGATTTAATAAATATCTACAGAAACAGAGAATTACCCCTCAAAACCACAGAATTCACATTTTTCTCAAGTGCACATGAGACATTCTCAAAGACAGACCACATGTTAAGGTACAAACTAAGTCTCTACAAGTTCAAGAAGACTGAAATCATATCAAGCTTCTTCTCAGATCACAAGGGCATGCAACTAGAAATCAACTGCAACAAGAACATCCAAAGACATTTGAACACATGGAGACTAAATAGCATGTTATAAAACAACAAATGGGTTACAGAGGAGATCAAGGAAGAAATTAAAAACTTCCTGGAAACCAATGAATATGAACACACAACAACAATAAATATATGCAATGCAGCAAAAGCAGTTATGAGAGGGAAGTTCATAGCAAGACAGGCCTACCTCAGGAAACTAGAAAAGTTTCTAACAGACTATCTAACTTCACAACTTAAAGAACTAGAAAGCAAACAAAAGAAAACCCCAGAGCAAGTAGAAGGAAGGACATAGTGAAGATCAGAGCAGACATAATTGACAGAGACCAAGAAAACAATTCAAAAAAATCAATGAAACAAAGAGCTGTTTTTTCAAAAAGATAAATAAGATTATTGGACTCTTAACTACACTCACCTAGAAAAAAAGAAAGAGCCCTGGCTAGTACAATATTCGTAAATCAATAAATGTGATACATCACATAAACAAAACGAAGATAAAAATCATATGATCATATCAACAGATGCTAAAAAAAAGCATTCGATGGCTGCCATCAACAAATCATCAAAAAACAAGTGTTGGCGAGGGTGTGGAGAAAAGGGGACTCTAGTACACTGCTGGTAGGAATGCAGACTGGTGCAGCCACTATGGAAAACAATATGGTATTACATCAAAAAAGTAAAAATTGAACTTCCATTTGACCCAGTGATCCCACTTCTAGGAATATACCCTAAGAAGCTGAAACACCAATCAGAAAGCATATATGTACCCCCATGTTCATAGAAGCACTAATTACAATAGCTTAGAAAAAAGCCGTGGTACATATACACAATGGAATACTATGCAGCTTTAAAAAAGAAAGATCTCTTATCCTTTGAGACGACATGGAGGTACCTGGAAAGTATTATCCTAAGTGAAACAAGCCAAGCAGAGAAAGACAAATATCACATGATCTCACTTATTTGTGGAATATAATGAACAGAACAGTCTGGGGATTCCCAGAGATGTGGAAGTGGAGTACAGACTGACAATCCCCAGAAAAGGGGTGGAGGTGAGAGATAAACCACAGAACGTATATGCATGTATGCATGAACAATGGACATGGACAACAAGGCTGGGGACAGGGTGGGTGGGGGTAATCAGTGAGGGAAAAATGAGAAACATCTTTAAAAAAAGAAATTAATTTAAAAAAAAAAGCTGTGGTACATATACACAATGGAATACTATGCATCTATAATAAAGAAAGATCTCTTATCCTTTAGGATGACATGGAGGGAACTGGAGAGTATTATCCTAAGCAAAACAAGCCAAACATTGAAAGACAAGTATCATATGATCTCACTTATTTGTGGAATATAACGAACATAACAGTCTGAGGAATGGGGTAGTCCCAGAGATGTAGAAGTAGAGTACAGACTGACAATCCCCAGAAGAGAGGGTGGTGGGGGAGAGATAAACCATTTAACTTGTATGCATGAACAATGGACATGGACAACAAAGCTGGGTACAGGGCAGGGAAGAATAGAGAGGGGGGAATCAATGGAGAAAAAAGCAAAAACATCTGAAACAAAAATAAATTAATTAATTTAAAAAATATTACAAAGAAAGAAAAGAAAAGCATGAACTAAAAAGGGGAAAATTAAAAAAATTGAGGATATCCAAAAAAGGCTTCTGTATCAGGAAAGGAAACCAACATAATGGAAAAGACAACCTACAGATCAAAGAAAATATTTTTATTAATATTATCAAATATGGGATAATATCTAAAATATATAATGAACTCATATTACTCAAGAGAAAGAACAAGTAATCCAAATAAAAAATGGGGCAGAGAAATTAATTTTATCAACTAGGACATACAATTGGCTATTAAATATAGCTGTGGAATCTTTCTCATTGTCATTAGAGAGAGAGAGAGAGAGAAATTCCAGAGACATCACCCTGTATTTATTAAAATGGCTATAGTCAAGTAGACAACAGATGACAAGTGTTGGCAAAAATAAAGAAAATTAAATCCTTGAGTTTCGTTTGTAGGGCTGTAAATTAGTGCAAACACTATGGAAACAGTATGAAGGTTCTTCAAAACAATAAAAAAATACAACTATAATACGATCCAGCAATCCCAGTTCTGGGTATATATCAATAGAAATGAAATCACTGCATCAAAGAGATATCTGCATTCAAAAAAATTGAATCATTCACAAAAATTCACACATGGAAATAACCTACATGTCTATCAATGAAATATATACGTACAACTGAATATTATTCAACCATAACAAGGAAGGAAACCCTGCCACTTAAACATGAATAGACCTTGAGGTCATTATGGCAAGTTAAATAAGTCAGACACTATACAGTCTTACTTATACACCAAATGTAAAAAAGAAAAAGAAAAAAAAAGCTAACCTCACAGAAAGAAAGAAGAGAATAAGAATTAAACTGAAAGGGACAGAAGGGCTGGGGAAATGGGAAGCTGTTCGTCAAAGATTACAAACTTCAAGTTAAAAAATGAGTTGAGCTCTGGGAATTTAATGTATAGAATGATCACTATAGTTATCAATACTACATTACATACTGGAAAGTTTCTGAGAGTAAATATTGTTTGATCACAAATAAAAAAAATTATAATTATGTGATGAAAGAAGTGCTAACATTGTTATCATTTCATAATATACATATATCGATTTTGTTGTATACCTTAAAGTTTATATGGTATGTTGATGGCATTTCAATAAAGCAAGGGGGTGGAGTTTAACATCCAGAATAACCTTTTTTATTCATCCTCGCCTGCTTTTCTTTGAAAGTTTTAGAGATAATTTTGAAACTTTTTTTCCTTTTTTTTTAAATTAACATTCTAATTTGCTTCCCACCTTCCCCCAACTGCAGAGGCTCCTCTACCACCCCACATTCAGGATTGTGCATTCAGCCATCTTCTCTTCTGCTTATCTTATCCCTGTGGCTTCGACTACCATTTACAAAAGATGATTCCTCAAATCCACAAACTCAGGGTAGGACCTATCACTGCTGATTATATTCATCTGAATAATACCCAGTTTCTCTTGACAAAATCACTATGGTTTTATGTTTAACCCTGTCTGTTAAGATATTAGTCGTCTTCATTCTTTCTTCCCAATTTCACGATAAGATCCTTTCTTTTATTCTCATGATTACTTTAATCTCAGCTCCATTATTTCTTGATTCCTGAGGCTGAAAATAGTCCCTCAAATGGCCTTGCTTCTTTCTGCCATTCCCACGGACACAAACAAAAGACTAGAACCCAGTTAAAGGAAAGTATGATGCCAAAGTACAGAAGCATTTCTTCCATGTACAAGAAGACTAATCCTCCTGAAACACTAATTTGATCATGACACACCCTGCTGAGATAAAGTCATCACTTTCCCATTACTTAGGGTGCTCTACAATATGAACCCAAGCTAATATAACAGACTTATTGCTATTATCAAATTTTGCCACCTAAATAGCCAGCATATTCTTCAATCATGGCTTTTGTGATTCTCAGTAAATCTACTTTGGCATTTCACATCCTAAAATTTCCTGAGAGGTGAGGTTTCAACAAAGTTACACCTATTCATCTATCATAAACAAAGTCAATAATACAGTCAATAACTGCACAGATATTTACATACGCAGAAAGATGCTAGAGATGTCAGACACTTAGGGGTTTGGTAAGAGCAACAGGTTCATATAGCCAGCCAAATATGTCAGAGAGCTAAATCCTGGCAATAAAGAAAAATAAATAAGTTAGTAATAATAACAACAACATCAACTGAAGTGAAAAGCTAACATTAACTACTGAGTAGCACTCCAGGCCTTTTTCTGCAGTCAGCCACTAATTCAAACCTTCAAGTGTAAGAGACAACTTCAATTTCTCATATACATTTACATAGTCTTGCCTTTAAAAATGACTACCTATACCAGTTTTATCAACACAAACAATCATTCAGCAATGCAGTCAACAAATTATTTCCCCCTCAACTTCACTACTGATAAAAACTAAAATAGGCAAAGAAATTTTTTTACACTTCTAAGTATAAAATAAAAAATTACCTTATTTTAATAACCTTTCTTGGGATAGAACTGATAATTCCCTCCAACAATTAGAATAACACCATCTTCTTAAATAGACTATACTGTGATAAAGGTTATAGTATATGGTTTGATGATTTAATTGTTATATATAGCAATCTGAAGTCAAATAAGCAGAATAAATCTGGAAACCAAGTCTAAAGATTAGATGAACAGACCTAATGTTATCTGTTATCAAATACCCTGAAAAAACTTTACCTCAAACCCACTATTACCTCTAACTCAGTTTAACACTTGCCCCAGCTGGAAGAGTCATCATCTTGAAATTACCACACAGATCTTGACCATTAAAATCATGAGCTTCCTGGGAAATTCACAGTTGAAAATTTATAGTTGCAAGTAAAACAAAGAGAAAAAACCTAGCAAATATACAAAAATATTTTTTCCATTTTTCAAAAATAACACCATCAAACATTTAAGAGTTCAGCAGTATTTCATCTATGTTAAGATACTAATGACTATAATTTATATTTAACAGATCCTGATTCATAGATAGTTTAATGTCTCTCTTCTGGACAAGCTTCAACACAATGTTTATTTAACCACATTTCTTAATGAAGTATATGCTTGCTCATGTGCATGCAAAATCAATTTTCGGATTCTGGTCTCCCAAAGATAAATTAATGCCTTTTAATATAAGTCTACTCTAAGTTTCCCTCAAGTCATGATCAGAAAACAAAATAATTTATAGTATACAAGGTAGACAGAATGTCTCAAGTTGCTAGAGATTCAAGAAAACTAAATTTGTAACAATTTTTCACAGAAAACAAAAACTGGTGAAAAGTAGACTAACAGCATGCACTTGTTTCATGATTGTTCATAATTCTCCATAGCCTCTGAAATTTCAAATTTTTTAACTTTTCCAAGGGCAACGTATTATACGTTCCAATATACTATTTAACATGTATTAGCAGCAACCCATGTAGCAGTAATCCAATAATGAATGTAACTCATCTGGAATGATACAAAATGAACAGTTAATGGATACTGCAGGAGTGATAAATACCTCTGCTGCCTAGACAGCAATAATTCTAGGAACTATTAATTATAAATACACATAGATTTCAAAAATGTAAAAATATGAAAGTGTATGCCAAATTGAATAAAATAGTCCTGGGCTGGTGTTCCCCAGTAGTGAGAGCATCAGCCATCACACTGAAGGGTCTTGGGTTAGATCCTCCGCCAAGGGTACATACCTGGGTTGTCAGTTCTATCCCTGGCCCTAGCAAGGGTATATGCAGAAGACAAGCAATCAATGTGTCTCACATCAATGTTTCTCTCTCTCTTCCCCTCCACCCTTCCCTTCCACTATATAAAGAAAAAGGAAGAAGAAAGGAAGAAAAAAAATCAATAGAAAAAAATATCCTCCAGTGAGGATTAACAACAAAAAGTATAAAATACGGCGTTACATGATCACGTATAAAAGTCAACAGTCTGGTCCAGCTGGTGTGGCTCAGTAGTTGAGCATCGCCCCCATGCACTGTGGGTCACCAGTTCAAATCCCAGTGAGGACACATGCCCAGGTTGCAGGCCCATTCCCCAGTGGAAGGCATGTAGGAGTCAGCCAATCAGTGTTCTCTCTCATCGATGTTTCTCTTTCTCTCTTCCTCTCACTTCCTCTCTCTCTGAAATCAATAAAGGAAAAAAAAAAAAAATCAAAAGTCAACAGTCTGGCCCAGCCAGTGTCACTCAGTGGTTGAATGCTCACCCATGTACCAAGAGGTTGCTGGTTTGATTCCAACCAGGGCCCAATCCTCCCAGTGGGGGGCATGCAGGTGGTGGCCAATTGAGTCCTCTCTCATGGATGTTTCCATCTCTCTCTCCCTCTCCCTTCCCTTCTCTCTAAAGTCAATTAAAAAACTCTTTTTTAAAATAAAATAAAGTCAACAGTCTGTTACAACTTGTAACGAAGTTATAATTTGTAAAAACTGCTATTCACCATGTAACAAAAACTACACAATACAGCACAGTACAGTTAACAGAGTAGACATAAAAACCAAGAGATATATTTTGTGCATTAAAAGCATGTATCTGGCCCTGGCCACTGTGGCTCAGTTGGTTGGAGCATCATCCAGTACACCAAAAGATCAAAGAAAAATTCCTGGTCAGGGTACATACCTAGGTTGAGGATTTGAACCCATCAGGGATCATAATGCTGGCAACTGATTGATATTTCTTTTTCTTTCTCTTCTGCGCTCTCTCTCTCTCTCTTTCTTTGTCTCTCTCTCTCTCCCTCTCTTCCACTCCAAAATAAATCAATAAACATATACTCAGATGAGAATTTTTTTTTCAAGGACATCCCCCTGTACCATCTTGGCTTCTACTACATATGTGCTCAGCAGTGAAATTTCTTCTACTATTTTTGTTGTTGTTGTTGTTAGTCCTCACCAGAGAATTTTTCCATTTATTTTTTTAGACAGTGGAAAAGAGGGAAGGAGAGGGAGAGAGAGAGAAGTAATGTGAAAGAGGCACATTGACAGATTGCCTCCCAAATGGCCAGGGCTGCGGATTAAATCTGTAACCCAGGTACATGGCCTTGACCATGAATAAACCCAAGACCCTTAGGTCTGCAGACCGAGGCTCTAACAGCTGAGCAAAACTGGCCAAGGCCAGCCAGGGGAGAATTTTTTTTTTTTAAAGCACATATTTGAATCTATATATTCTATACATTTCATACAAATACAAACATCTAACAATTTTTCCAAATGATTCTAGAATAAACCAAAGGAATCAAATAGCTAAAACAATTCTAACTTTTTCTGACTCTGAAGAACCATAAGAAGCAATTTTATATATTGTGGCTTAATTCACACATAGTTAATATTTATGTGTATAAAACATAATTTTTTAAAAATAAAAATTAAAGCTGAGTGCACAGCCAGGTGACTCGTTTAGTTGGAGCATCACTGGGTACACCAAAAAGGTTGTGAGATGAATCCCCAGACAGGGCACATACAGGAGACAACCAATTAATATTTCTCTTTTACATCCATGTTTCTCTCTCTCAAATAAATAAATAAATAAATAAATAACCTAGGGTGAGGATAACAACAACAACAAAAAAAAAATGAATTAAAGCTGAGTGATTTTACAACATTCACTTCTAAACAGTTAACAAAAGCCTAGTACTAAAGTTTCTAAAAAAACTAATTTTTTGAAAATATCTAGCCTAAAAGAAGCAAGTTTTCATTTGCTTCCTTGTTCAATTTTGTGAAACATGTCACACTGTCCTGTGCAAAAGTCAACTAACTGTACACTACATTTATGGAAGAATTAAGGTAAAAAGAGTAAATAACTTTTTAACATTGTTATGAAACGTTTCCCCCTCCAAGACACCTTGAAAAGGTATCAGAGTTCCCCGGAGATTCCTAAACCACATTTTGAGAACCACTAATCTAGATCCATATGTAACATGGATGTATCTCAAATCCCACTGTTGAATGTAGAATATATGAAATGGTACATTTAATATGATACCTTTTCTACAAAGATAAAATACAAATAGATTGTTTTGGGTACACAAACCTGACACTGGTTACCTCTGAGAGAAAATGAGAATTGGGATGAAGCAAAACCCTTTAACTGCACCTCCAGTATTTCATTTCTTTAAATGAAAAAAGAAAAAAGATATGAAGCATATATAAAACAAAATGTTATAATTTCATCTGTCATATCTAGGAGATAGTTACTTTTTTAGTGATTTTGAAACATTTCATAATTTAAGAGTTACTATATTAATTATGTTACTCTAGTTTTAAAAGCTTTCAAGACTTCACAGATTTTTTGGTATATACTTAATTAAAATTCCTCTTTCAATGAAGCAAGTTTAAACTAGTACCTCTTTATGTTATGCTGTAAGAGATCTGCATTTCATAAAATAATATTTAAAAAAATAAATTGGTAAGAATAATGGGCTGCCTGCATTTGTTATCAGTTGAGGTTTACCAGAGGGAGTTATTGAACTACTGTTTTCATATGGTGCTAGTATATAATTGCTTTGATATTTATACCCTCTATCAAAAATACATCATCTGTTTAGGTACTTAATTTCAATTGGAAACGTATTCAATTCCACATAAATCTCTGTACTCAAACAATATCTATGCGCCAGAACATTCTTCTAAGGGGACAAAGCAAAATAAGAAACTATCTCTAAAATTAGAATCTTCAAAAGTTTAGAAGTTAAAATACAAACCTAGAGTTAGAATATAACAAATTTAATGTTAAATTAAAAAAGTCTACACTGCCTCTATGTGACAGAAGAAAGAATAAGCCTGGAAAAAGAGTCACGAACAAAAAGATATTAAGTAGTAGGAGTTGTAATGACTTTATGGGCAAACAAATTTTCAATAAATATTATGGGCACCTATTATGTACCTGATACATTTACTTCAGCAATACTGAGTCAGAGGAGTAAAAAAGAATTGGGTAGAGTTGTTCAGTAGGTGACTGGAAATGCTAGATGAGACATTTAGACAAAAGGTAGGCATAATAAGACTCAGTGAAGCGAGGGAAGATGTTGAAAAAAAAGAACAGAGGACTGATCTTTAATGAGTACCCATATTTAGGTCATGAAAAGAAGAACCACAGCAGACAGAAGGCACATATTTTCTGAAACACATACACACACACTTTTATGAGACACACCAATTAACTGGAATAGTTTTCAATTCTGGGAATAATAAATTTAGAAATAAGTGAGGTAAAACACATTTAAAAAAAAAAAAAAAAAGATGTTACAGACAAGATTCTAATTAGATTAACAGTGAACACTTAGAAGGAACTGAAATGAGTCACTGAGTGTCAGAGAAGAGCATAAGGCAGAGCACCTGAGCTTAGAAAGAAGGCATTATTCTTGCAGCAAAAGAAAAAAAAAAAAAAAAAGCCTATGTAGAAATAGAGGAAGAAAGCTCAGAGATCAAACGTTTATATCCTATAGCCATTTATTTTTCCCAATTAAGTAGAACGTTTTCTATGAGGATGAGAAACATCAAAGAATGGGGTTGTGTTTAAGAGAATAATAATGTTTGTGCCCAGCCGATGCTGCTCAGTAGATGAGTGTCAACTCATGCACCTAGAATTCACCAGTTCACAATTCCCTCCGTCAGGGCACGCGCCCAGGTTGTGGGCCCAATCCCCAGGTTGTGGGCCCAATCCCCAGTGAGGGGAATACAGGAGGCAGCCAATCAATGTTCTCTTTCATCTATGTTTGTCTCTCTCTCCCTGTCTCTCTCTAGAAACCAATAAATAAAAAATAAAATTTAAAAAAATGCTTGTAATTGTCAATATACAACAATTACAAATATGTTATGATTATTGAAAATAAAAATGTAAACAGAACCAGAGCACAGTCTTTTTTTAAAGGAAAGCTGCATCCTGTTAAATACACATGAATTAAAAACACCTCATTTATCAAAGATAGTTGGCTAATTAGTCTACCTATCAGTTTTCTAGATCATTACGTTCTACCCCTCAAACAAAAGACATTTTATGTTTATCCATTTTCTATGGAAATTCTTTAAATTATACACTTACCTGTCTTAATTATATACTTGAGTCTAATTTACTCTTAATCTTGAACATCCATTGTTGCTATACTGGAACATTTGCTGCAGCTGTACTGTACAGCATACAATTCTATCTTCTTTAGAGCTCTTCTATGTCTTTCCCAGCTGTCAAGATATAAAGCAACTACTTCTACAGTTTATGTTTACCCTTAATACTTCAACAGCTATAATGCATTAGAAATTTATGTCTAATCTCCTTTCTGCAATCCACTTTCTTAAACTTTTCTAAAGTACATTCGTGATCAACATAAAATGTCTTAGGGAGCTTCAATGTTTCACTTGTTGCCTAGGAAAATGGATACTTTTGTTTTTGTTATTTTAAAATTCTAGGAAACAAGCGCTGCACATGTTTTCTGGAACTTCTGCATCTAGGACATTCGTGTATTAATCAAAGCATGAGCTTTAAAAAGCTTGGTTTAGCAATGAGTAATAAAAAGATTATTTTTATGAGGGAGTTATTTTCACCAAGGGAAAGGAGAAGGTTTAAGGCCAGATGTAGGGCATTGGATTTTTAGGAATTATTCTTGTAACCTCTTTTTTAAACTGGCTTCCTAAATTATCCCTGTACTTTTCAACCATGGTCAATAAATTTTTTTCACTATCCGAAATAACACTTATGAGCAAGTTTATTTGGTATTTGTATTTAGGACAGAAAAAGGAGTAGCTGAGGAGAAAGGAATCATTCAAACAGCAGCAATATTCTTGGTATTCTAGTAATATAAAATTGATTAACACACTGGTCATTGTCATTATTTGTCAACTTTGAAACTTCCAACGGTTGGAGCCAGGACTGATAAATCTGAAGTACAGTTCAGGTGTTCCATTGCTCAGCTACTTTTACAATCTACTTTTTTAGTCAAATTTCTACCACCTCCCTACCTATTCTCCAGCCAAAGTATCTGCTGTGTTCTTAAGAAACTTGACTTTAACAATGCCCTTTATCCACTCCCACCCCGGTGTAAAAGTCCTAAGCATCTTTCCCTTCCCAACTTGCGACACGCTTAAGGGAATCCTCTAATCCTTTCCTGCAGCTCGAAATAAATTCCTTTTTCATATCTTATAAAATGAAGTTTTCAATACAGTTTTCCAATTAAGAAAACTTGCATTATGCAACTTTATCACCCATTAAACAATAGCGGTGATAAATTTTTTCCATCAAACCCAGTGTTTCGTTTTTCAGGTTCACGAGAGACAAGTGTTGGAAAACAATCGTGCGGCAGACCAGTAACAGCCACAAATGACTCTGGTTAATGCTAAAGTACAGATAAAATCTGTTTGGGTTCCATCAGCTTGGTGAGCCCACGTTTCTGGTGCGCCAGGCGCTCCCTCCCAAAGCACCGAACGCTGCCGCAGGTCACTTTAAAATGCAGCGGAATCAACAGTCGTCAAAGACATACACGAGACAGGGCAGGAAGGTGGCGCTACCACCGAGCGCCTGTGGCACTTCTTGGCAACGACAGCAATGGCCACGGGGTCGTGAGCACGCGCCCCCCCCCCTTCCGCGCGCACACGCTGCGGTACCCGGCCTACTCGCCGGGTCACCGTAGCAGCCGCCGCCGCCCGCTCTCCACCCCTCCACCTCGCCACATTGGCTGAAGCGGAACTTTCTCTTCCGATACCGCCTTCAAGATGGCGGCTCCCCCTCCCGGCAATCCTTTCAATCGTTCCCAGCACCAAGCGCAGAGCCGCCACCATGTTGTCCCCCGACCCACCCCCCTCACCGATATTTACATAGTGAATATCCGCCCGGCAGGCCTGCGGCCTTCACCTACGCCTGCAGCCTTTGCCTCCTGGTCAGACTATGCCCCGAGCGTTACTATGGGTCCGCACAGGCGCCCTCCCAAAGTCTCTCGCAGTCCCTGGGTCATCCGGCGACCCCCCTTAATTGCCCGTCTGTCACGGAGCGCAGCCCAGTCACCGCTCGAGCAGCCGGATTTCTCCCCAGGCCTAAATGTGGCCTCCTCGGGCCCGCTCGGCGCCACGGCCGCGGCTGCGCCCAGCACTCACCAAACCTAGATACCGGTGGTCAGCGTCGGTGGCGGCAGCTGTAGGCCTGCCTTCCTCTGGAGCACTGGGCCGAATTTCTAGTATGGGGGCGGGCGGGGGTAGGAAGGAGGAGCTGAGCTTAGAACAGACAAAAAAAAAAAAAAACGGTCCAGCTCACCGGCACGGGCCCGCCGTCAGCACGTCACGTCACCGCTCGGGAGACAGACCTAGGAAAATGCGGAAGGGTAGATGGGCCCCTTCCGCCCACTGGGTTCTAGGGCACCTCTAGGGTCTCGGGACTCCAAGCCCAGTAGCCTGGCTGCAACGGGGTTTCCGGCGGCTGGAATCTCTGTCAGAACGTTCTTTCCTCCTCTTCCGCGCTTCCGCCCGCTGCCGTACTGGCACCGCTGCCTCCGCCTTGGCATAAGCAGTCCCCGGTCTAACTGTGTGCGGCTGCCTCTCATCATCTGTGGGCCTAGGCCGCCGTCCTGGCTCTGAAGGGCCTTTCCTGGAGAGGCGCTTGCTGGAGTTGTTCGCAGGCCCTCAAACTCCTGTCTGCAATAAATGTGTTTCCTTCATCTAGTGGCTGGATAAGAAGATGAAATTAGCAACACTCGCCATCTCCTTCTTTCTGTTAAAATATGTATTTTGGAAATGGAATGAAAATAAGCTTGCTAGTCAAAATGGGTATGTAGGGAAGAGGAGGGATTTTAGAGCAACTACCCAACTTGTCAGTTTTAAATATTAATATCAGAAAATCAAGCTAATTTGAATATGGAAAACTACTACACTTTGAGAGTGCTTTCACATATTCCAATGTAAAACAATTTTTAATATGTGATTATATTCTGTGTTTCAGAATTTAGGAGCCTATGAATATGTCGTGTAACTTTGATAAATAGTGAACATTTTTATGTAACAGAGACTACTAGCTGGATGTGATGTGGGTCTGGGGTTTTTGTTGTTGTTTTTAACAACTCCTTAAATAAGTACCTAAAATTTAAAGAGACTTGACTTTAGAGAGAAAGTGGAAAATGTTAAGCAGACAACATTTATCAACTCCAAAAAATGTATTTTGCATATTCATTACATTACTATGATATCTTTTCATAACATTGCACAGAAAACAAAATGTTGAGGCTACATTTATATATATATATATATATATATATATATATATATATATATATAAATATATAGGTACGGTACAGTCTTAAGATCTGAACAGTTCTAAATGCCATTACTAAATGCTGTTCTTGCTAAATAAATGTTAAAATGTAGGGTATTATTTTATAGACACATGCCTATAAATAGGTTGAGCTTCACATAAGAGGAAAAGGTAAATGTAGAAGAAACATGAAAAAGTTCTGGATGTTCCTTATAAATTTCTCATAAGGCAGAGTGAAGACCTAGTGCTTTCATTTCCTCCAAGAAAGAGAAAAAAAATGAGATTGAGAGCAGAACATTTTAAAAATATATAATATGAACAAAAAATACTTGCTTTCAAACTAGTCAAGGGAATTTTTACTACTGTTATTAACCAAAGAAGAGGTTCAGGCTATAATAAAAATCAAAAAGTATCTAAACAAAAGAATTAGCAACCCAAGAGACACTGAGTCAGATGGCAACTCAGCTGCTCTGTGGCAAGACTAAAAGACATGCTCAAATGTTAATTCATTATTCAGAGGAAAGATTCTGTCTAGGTCAACTGGAATTAGTTAATTCCAATATATGAACAAGGGGCAACAAAATAAGATGAAGTCTGTGTATGTCCAGAAAGGGCTTAGTATTGAGTCAAGTTTAGCAATATAGAAGCTTAACAGCTACTCTGAGAACTGAGGCACAAGATGTACACAGACCCATCCTTGCCATTTTGGCTCAGCAGTCAGAGTGTTGGTCTGTGGTCCAGAGAGACCCGGGGTTCAGTTCCCACTAAGGTCCTGTGCCTCAGTTGCAGTTTGTCCCCGGACCTGATTGGTTGTGCAGGTGGCAGCTGCTCAATGTGTCCCTTTCACGTCAATTTTTGTCTCTCTCTCTCTCTCTCTCTCTCTCTCTCTCTCTCTCTCTCTCTCCCACTCTATCTGAAAAAAAAGAGGAAAAATGTCCTCGAATGAGGTTTTAAAAAAAAAGATGTACACAGACCGCACCTTACTAATAGCCTCCTGACTCAAGTGATTCTCTGAACAATGCTCATTCCCTTTTTTTCTATTATCACAGTTGACCCTTACACAACACAAGTTTGTACTCTGTGTGTCCACTTACACAATGTTTTCAATAAATATAAGGTGTCCTTGAAAAATATATACAGAAATAAAGTGTAATTATAAAGCCAGTGTTTATTAAATACATTCATTTTTAAAATGTAATAGAATCTACAGACAGCCTATATACATTGGGGGTGGGGGCACTCTGTCTACAGGTAGGCCTCCTTATCCCTGGGTTTTGTATCAGCTGGTTGAACCAATCATGGATTGAAAACAGTATTTCCCACCCACCATGGGGAAGCTATGGATGCACAGGGCCAGTGATATGCATTCTTCTATTTCACTTTTTATAAAGGACTAGAGCACACATAGATATGGGTTTCTGTGGGAAGCAGGAGAGCTTGGGGGTATTGCGGTCCAGAAACCAATCTGTATATACCAAAGGACTACAGTTAAGTTTTGGGGGAGTCAAAAGTAACCCTAGCCCTTGAGTTCTTTCAGGGTCCCCTGTAGTGATGCAGGCACCTCTCACAGACGCCAGAGAGGTGTTTTGGGGCAGCCCACTGAGAAGGGGAAGAGGGCTGTCCCCAACCTCAATCCTTGTCCTGTCTTATAAATGAATTTATATGAGAAGTTTCCTTATGACAGTGTAGTGTGTGTGTGGTGGGGAGGGCTTGTGAAACAAAGAAAATTTTATTTAAAAAGCTAGAAAAACTATAAATCTGGCTTATGAAGCACAAACAAGCTCTCAGGTAATCTGAAGAGAAAGTTGGATGGGGGTCTGAGGCATATACCTGGCTATATATAGGTTTCATATTTCTCTGATTAATATTTTGGTATAAATTAATTCTCAAAGGTCAATTTTTACTTTGTTGTTGCCTTCCCAGAACTCATGAGAAGCAGCACCT